TGTAAAGGTGAATGTCAGAATACTGTTAGCTTTTACTGAAAGAAAATGCACATACTTGTATTCAGCAATGTCTCACAAGTACAACAGTACCCCTCATGAACAGGTTTTATGGTGTTTTGGAAAGTTACAGCACGTTCCATTTTTCAGTTGATACACATTGACATTTGACAGATTAGTAATGTTGCCTTTAAAACCGTATCATAGCCCAGGAATGAGAATTAACCTCATGATGGCATACCATTTGCATAAGTAGAGAATCCAGGGTATTCAATATGGGGTATGTCCAGTCTTTTATAGTAGCCACTTAGTCCCAAACACCAGCGTATGCTGTGAGTTGTACACAAAGGAATCATCAGTGGATCCAGAGATAGTGGTGGTCTTTTAGCTGTAAACTATTGTGCTGTCTCACAAGTACCTAAATATTGGCACTTTGTTTGTAAATACCCTTGTCTTGACTCCTTTATCTTGTTTTTTTAATTTTTTTTAAAACCACAGGCGCCCTTTTGTGCTTCGGTTTCAGATATATTGCCCAATAAACAGTTGTCTGGAGTGTAAAGGACACCCACTCATGAGACCAGCTGCATGGTATTCTAAATATAAATTAAATGGACATATACACACATATATATATATATATATATATATATATATATATATATTTATGGACACTAGCTAGAAGTAATTTAGTTATTATATTTAGGGAATCGATGATAAGGATTTTTATTGTGTAATCATAGCCAATTATATTATTTATTTGAACCAACTCCTACTTTACATATATAAAAATATGCATAGAGAGAGCGGTACTTACTGTATTGGGTTTACTGGTCCACATATAGACTTATATACTCTGTTCGGTATATTGCTATCTTGGTACCTTACTGCTAACTGCTGTTTAATCCATCTCCTATTTGCAAAAAGGAAATTATCTGAAGCTGGCAGTGTTAAACTTTGTAATAATATGGGAGTATTCTGCTTCAAATGCACTTGAAACTGTGCAGTGGAATGAAGCCATCAGAATCCATGGAATGAAAGAATATGGCATGCACATCATCCACAAACTATGACCATAAAAGGTTTCAACAGCAGAATTAGGAGAAAATTGTGGAAGGTCCAATTATAAAACAATATGAATTATTGGGCCAACTGGGGAGAGTCTGCCATTTTTCCAGCCTGCCCTTACTCTGTGAACAGTGTTGCAGTTTATAAAATTGACAGATTCTTTCAGAATTCATTCAGATGGCTTAATTCTTGTAATGAATTTGAAAAAGCAGTTGACGGCATTGCTTACAGAAGCAGAATATAGTGTAGATGTTCATATCCAGTCAGGGCCGGTGCAAAGAGCTTTGCCGCCCTAGGGAAAAGCAAAGTTTGCCTCCCCTCCCACCCCATGTGACATCACAATGCCCCACCCATATGATCTGCCATATGAACCAACGTCAGTGCTGCACACAGTGTGCGTTTACATTAAAAAACCTGCAGGGACAGACTATAGAAACCAGAACCACTACATTAAGCTGCAGTGGTTCTGGGGACTATAGTGTCCCTTTAATGTGAGGTAAATTAGAGATTAGTGCCTCGAATAATATACTAGATTGCCTACTTACAACCAGATGAGGATGATGATGGGCTTTGACTGCAGTCTGGCTCCACTGGTCTGGTGTAGACCCTCCCTCAGTGGTCTCTCCCCTCGTTCACCTCACCCCCCCCACCTCTGTTATAGTGTGGCCGAGCTCAGGTCCAGTCCGCAGTACAGGAGCTTCTGTTTCTTGTACCCGTCCGAACTGACAGAAAATGCTCACTGAATGAGCACTTCCTGTCAGTCTGGCCGGGTACAGGAAGCGGAGGTGCTGGCCCTGTATCCAGTACTCTTAAAGACTGGTTTAAAATCTACATCCTGCATGCATCTGTTACTAGCGGGTAGACGTATGCTTGCCAGTTTCTTCAAAGCTAGCAGGAACAGCAACCTGAATACGGGAGTTAGGAATCATCCAGAATAAACTAGAATATGTAATCATTGTTCTGCAACACAGTAAATACATATTACCCCATTCTATGTTATTACTATGCGTCATCAGCCATCCCAATCCACCAGGCATTTATTCCATTTACCCAATGGTCTGGTTCAGAGAGGCTCTAGTGCCTTTCAAATGTCCCTACAAACAACACCCTGGCACTTGACTTTAGAGGAAATAAATACAAAAAAAGCATTAATTCCAAAACTGACGCACAATAGTAGCTAGCTTTTAGTTACCTAGAACAACTTTCACTTCGGTTCACTGTACTATACACTTTTTACATGGTCAATACAGTTAATTAAAATATTGTGCTTTAGTCATGAATTTACTCATTAGTACCATTTACCTCTATATACAAGACATAGTTTATGTATTTTCAATAGGCATCACCCTTTCTTTGGATGTCACCCATTGTTAGGGTAATGGACATTCATAGATATTCCATTATGCAGTCCGTCTTTTAAAAGGTCCATCAACATTCTGTTATTTGTTTATATCCCAGGTTGTTGTCACACTGAGATGGTCTGTAGCTTCAATGATGTGCTACAAAGTTTGAGTCTGACCGATCTTCCGGGTCCTGATGTGAGACCGGTAAAAGACTGGAGAAACCCAACCGTGGTCTATATAGACTTTTACCTCTATACGGTCATCGACTTGGTGAGATTTTTTTTAAATGAGTGATTGCAATGTAAGTTCAGCTGTTTAGACTAACCTATCAGAAGTACGGAGCATCCTGAAACTTTGTTTCCTTATACGCCTCAAGTTCTGGAGTCAACGCATTACTTTTAGTTGTGCACAGATATTACTTTCTATGTGTATGTAGCAATGACTCTGCATGATAATTATTGGAGACAACCTACCTGCTTTTTTGGTGGTGGTTGAAAGGTTGAGTTGCATAATGTCATTTGTTAATAACCTTATTAATCTTTAATTTTTTAGGACACAAGTTTACAGATCTTAACTACACTTCTCTGGTTTAACATGGTAAGGAATTGAAATCTTTATGATTCTAGTGTGCTTTAACACATTGCTTGTTTACTTTCATGTGAATAAAATCAGGTTTACTCATTAAATTCCAGATTCTGAAAAATAATTTAGTACATCCAGGGGCAGACTGCAAAAACTCGATATTGCTCACAGACTTTATCAGTACTCTGAATTAGATTGTATATAGTCCAGAGATCAGCCAGTTCGGAGTCTTCGGACAGAGCCGGTACTAAATGATGGAACCTATTCCTTTGATTTAACAAAATTGACCCATATCGACCTGCAAAGGCAGTTCAGCTGAATTTGAATAATTCAGTTGAGCCACATTTTACAGGCAGATAATGACCAATTCTAATATCAGCTAATTAGATGACTAACTCTATGAAAGATTGGTTTAACTACAAAGAGGGGTACATCATAGACCGATTAATAAAACATAAAAGCACATCTTCTAAACAAGCACACATAAATTAAATGAAAAGTAGTAACAGGAATTGAAAAAACAGAAATACACCAATAACCTCAGTTGCCTTTTTTAAAAATATAGTCTTCATGTGTCAGTGCTTATAATATATAAAGTATCACTGTGTATTCCTCAGCCTAGTTCACTACTGTCCACTTAATGGGATACTATAGTCACCAAAACAATGTTAGCTTAATGAAACAGTTTAAGTGATCATGCCCCTGCAGGCTCATTGCCCAATTCTTCTAAATGGCAGAGAATTGAGCAGTAAGACTGGAGGGGCATGCTCTCTACACCCAAACTGCTTCATTAAGATAAAGTTGTTTTGGTGACAATAGTGTCCCTTCAAACATGTTACACCCCAGTGCTACAGATTCATCAAAATCTCCTCTTGTAACACGGTTTTCCCAATACTATTTTAATGTACCATATTTAGGTGGAAGACCCTGATCTACATGTTGAACACATGGTGATATTTTATATATTATAAGTCCTGATATTTGAATACTGTGCAAATCTCATATTTTATTTAGGCTTCGCTGGTTATGATAAAATTCAAGCCATATTTGTCTTTAGCAAATATGCAAACTGCACATTCGGTTGCAATTTGGATATGCAGAAATAACCAAATTTAGCTGATGCTTTTCCCATTACCATCATTACACATGCACATGTTTGGACATAACTGACACAGCAAAGAGTGCACTCCTCTACATTATAGATGTAACAGTGTTTACAAATTGCCGCAGATACAAGCCATTCTTATTACAGAAAAAAGAGGCTTTGTACATTATGCAACATAAGCTTTACAATGAAGTTTTGGCAATGTCAAGGTGCTTAGAGAGACCATTTAAACAATATCAATCCTCAGCAGTGTCACTAGGGTTGCGGTCACCCATAGGCGTGTGCCGGGTGTGCCTGGGCACACCCTAACCCCGCGGCCCGCACTATGTGCCATTCAGGCAGGGAGGGAGGCAGGAGAGGACCCTGGTGGGCTCTTGCCAGCAGCTCCGCCGGGTTCCTCTCGCGAGGTTGGAGCGTTGCCGCGGCAACGCTCAGATCTCACGAGAGTGAACTCTAGCCCTGCAGGCTAGAGTTCACTCTCCACTGGACCACCAGGGATGGCAGCAGCACAGTCCCCCCTCCCTACAAAAGGTAAGAGGGGAGGGGGATATTAACTAAACAGCCCCCACACACAGCGCACCTACTTGTGTGTGATAGAGATATATCATATCAGCAGCAGTGAAAACAACAGCACCTACTTTTGTCTTGATAAAGTCCACCAATCTATTAAACTGGGGCAGGAACAGAATGATCCATACACCAGGCAACTCTTACATGTCAAATACTGCCACAAACTGACCACCTTATTGTGTATTACATTCTGTGCTTGGCTGCAATGTGCAGGTCACTAGTAATTTTAACAACTACAAAAAAGTCTAAATAACAGATGTACCCGGTGTTTAGCTTGGTTGTCTGGTGTGGTGGGTAGATTACTGCTTCCTGCTTTTCCAAGAAATTAAGAAACCAGGTCACTGAATTTCTTGAATAAGGAATGAGAAATGGGTTACTTTATATACATGTATTAATAAGACCATGCAGTGCTGTGCCTGGGATACTGTCACATTCTCCAGGTTACACACAGTATGTATTGGCTCTGATTAGGGTCTTGTGGCAATGTTTGCATCTGACCTTAACCTGGTACCCATGCTCTGGGTACCAGGACTCATAAGCTGTTGCAGTGAGATCTGCACCATGCATCGTACAGCCATAGTGCACACCTAATTTCCTAAACCAGCTGTGGGTCTTCCTGCTGGTGTCAGGTGGATGTGTTGCCTGGTTACTGTGGTTGCCATACTACACGGAGCCCAGGGTAACATGTTGCACTTTCTGGACTGCCAAGCCACCACCATCACCTCTGTTGCTCTCCATGCATGGAACACACCAGTGGTCCTACCAATGCCAAGGAAATGGGTGCAGCCAATCAGAAAACACAATGACAGACAGCTAGTGAATGAGACCTGTTGTCTATGTCAACACAGAATTCCAACCAATCCGTTCCAGCCTGTGAACTACAGGCAGTGCTGAGGGTTAGTCTGCACCAATACAAAGCTTCACTGATGAAGGTACAGACCAAAGGCCCACGCAGCGGGTGCACTTGGCATATGAGGGAGATCTTTGATCACGATCAGCGGTCCATGAAGAGGCACGCATGGGCTAGACAGTCAGTGTCATCCCGTAGTAACACCACTGTCAACCCTGGTCATCTGTGATCTAACTTACTCCTTTAGTTTGGGCACACTCAAAGTTGAACACAAACTGATGGAAAAAAACTAATCCTCTACATATTCACATTTACTACAAGTGACAAAATGGTGCAGTTTTATTTCAATGTATATATATTTATTCAAAATATCTGTAATGTAAATAGTTTTACATTTCATAGAGTAAATTAGAATCCAATCTAACTAAAAAAAAAATAATAATTCACAGTAGTCGGCTTTTTTGTTCAGTGACTCATACACGATGAACTAAAAAACAGGCACAATAGGAGACCAGATTTTTCTTGGGAACTGCTAAAAAAAAATGTTTGCAAACCGATAAAAATAATAATCTGACAGGTATTAATATTATCATTATTTAAGTTAGGATGGCAGAAATACTTACACATCAGAACAAGATTTTCAGTGGAAAACTGAGTAAATAAAAGCTAAGCCAAGATCCGTGAGTATACAAAACTGTAAAACCACAAAAAAAAAAAAATTTACATACATACTACAGTTAAATCAGGTGACAAGCCCTAAGTATAGATTCCAAGAATTCTTTAACTCCTAACAATAGCCAGATGAAGAGAAACCAGAACATTTTGTAACCGAAGCACAAGCCTAGGGCAAAACTGAAAACCAATTCCTAGAAAGTAGGACATCTCTGCTGGAATACCAAAAACCGTAAGTGAGCAGTCGAAATAAAAAGAGGAGTTTACATAGGAAAGACAGCAGCAATAGAGAAAGTGTGAGTGATTGATTGGCATGAATGTTCTCCGTCAAGCATCGTTTGAATGGCATTGTGTGAGAAGTCCACCAGGAACTTCACATGGGCTTGGTAAACAATTTGTCGCTTTCATTCAGATTTTATTAGGTGTTTTGCTATTCCAGGTCTGGACAGATGAGTTTATTTCTTGGAACCCTGGCAATTTCTGTGAAATTAATAGAGTGCGCATACTCGGCGAAATACTTTGGAAACCAGACCTCTACGTTTATGAAATGTAAGTTATGCAAATGTTATTCGTAGGAAAGTTCTGATTATGTGCATGCAACGACCCAAACCACACTTGAACATTCATTAAAAACGTCTTTCATTTGCAACTGAAGTAACCAGATACGTTAGCAGATCTAAGGTTTAGCGTTAGTGGGGTCCTGTTATTAGTTAACCTTTTCTAAAAGCCCACAATGTTTATTTTGACACTACAAATTCCCTTATGCTAAAATGACATATCAAGCACCATAACCACTACAACTTAGTGTAGTACATATGGTACTAGCAGTGCCCTGGAGTCTTCCCAAAGAAAGTATTCAAACCATTTAATAATAGTTTTACCTGGTTCCTGCCGGGCACTGAATGCAACCTTCTCTGCTGCCAGAAGAGCTTCCAGTTAGTTCCACTAAGTTAAAGGACCACTATGGGCACCCAGACCACTTCAGCTTAATGGCCTGGGTGCCAGGTCCATCTAGGGTTAACCCTGCAGCTGTAAACATAGTTTCAGAGAAACTGCTATGTTTACATATGGGTTAATCTAGCCTTTAGTGGCTGTCTCATTGACAGCCACTAGAGGTGCTTCCGCGCTTCTCACTGTGAAAATCACAGTGAGAAGACGCTTACGTCAATAGGAAAGCATTAAGAATTAAACTGAATTGTGGGGTTTTTTTTTTTTTTTTTGCTAAATTGTTGACAAGATTTAAAAAGAAAATTAAGTTTCAAATGAAAGAAGGTTAAATGATGTTCAATGGTTTTTTCACTAGTGGATATGGTACAATGGGACTGGGTATACATTCTAAGGGCTCATTCAGAATCTTGTCACTTTGTTTTAGTACAGCCACTACCATTACTGCTTTTTGCTACTGTTAGTGAGTAGTGTCTGTTTACCATCTGCAAAATAATAAATGTAATGACCGAATTACCAGCTGCCACTACTGAAAGCCGGTCACTAAGCATTCGCATTCGCTTCATAGTTTCCGACTGGTTGATAACCTTGTCACTGCTCATTACTGCCTGCCACTAAACCCACGTCTAGCCTGGTGTAAAGCGATAAACATTAGTTATGTCTATACATCCTAATGAAGCAAAATATCTTGTTCCAATCATATCTCTACTCTTTACTGGCCAGACGCTGCTTGCCACACAGGTTATATTGCGCATATTCAGTGCATTACCAACAAGTCGCTAATATCCCCTTAAGGACACAGCTTCAGTAATAAACGGCAATCATAACGGAACATTTCCGTCATGTGTCCTTAGAGGGATATTAGAGTGGCTGGTTTCTGTAGTGGCAGTCATTATTAGTCAAAGCCTGCAACAATTTATCAACAAATAATGTAAAGTTACTGGCTCTTGCTAACAGCAACAGCTTGGGTCTGCTATTTACCAAAAAGATTGTAAACAAACCCTGTTATAAGCTGGGTTATATGAAAATACCATTATACATCTGGTTTAAGCACTTTTCATTTTAGGTCAGTATATCTGAAAATGTGATATTTTACCTATAATTGCATAGGACAGACTATAATAAGGATTCTTCAATGAAACTCTATTACTCCATCACAAGCAATGGCTTAATCAGTTATTCAGCACCTTTGAGGACTGTTACTAGCTGTAACCTGCATATCTTCAAGTTTCCATTTGATACTCAAACGTGTACCTTAACCTTTGGTCCTTATATTCACTCAGGTATGTATGCACTCCCCATGTGGTGTAACTATTATCTTGGATTGAAAATATTGGTTATCTGCGAATTCAGAATATAAACGCTACAAGAGGGGACATCTCTATGCTTGTCAGTAATAAGCAGCTGTTAAGCATTGTAAACCCCTACAGTTGGTAGATGTTTGTGTCTACAAAATATTAACATCAATATATCCACTAAGCACAATACAACGATACCTATACAATACACAGAGCTAGGTAGACTACAGAGATATCCATACAACAGGTAGAGCTGAGTAAAATACAGAGAAATAACACACAGAGCTGGGCGCAAAAACATACCATAACTATCCCACACGGCCAGGATCACTGTGATGGATTACACAGAGCTGCAATACATAGTACATGTTTATGTATAATTATTTAGCTTTCACTGCTTCTGTCTATCTTTCTAGACCTCCCTTAGCTCCCTACTTACATGATCTCATCTTTAGTAGTGCTCCTGATATGATAATGTTAGCTTTCTATTAAAGGAACTCTATAGGCACCCAGACCACTTCTGCTCACTGAAGTGGTCTGAGTGCAGTGTCCCAGGTCCCTTAACCCTGCAAAGCCAATTATTGCATTTTTTTTTATAAACTGCAATAATTAGCTTTGTGGGGTAACTCCGCTTTTAGTGACTGTGTACCAGACAGCCACAAGAGGGATTTCCGGGCTGTTAGGCGACTTTTGGAAATTCTAATGTGAGCATTGTCATTGCCACATGTATGCATTAGGTCTCCCCCGCTAGCTGACAATGACTGGGTAGAAGCGGACACAGGCCCAAGTCAACGCCAAGAGACATAGGTGCTGGGCCCAGGTAAGTGACATATGGGTTTTTAACCCCTTCTGCACCATGAGGGGGGGAGAGGGGAGGTAAGAGGGAGAGGTGGGCACTATATGGAGCTATTGTGCCAGGAAAACAACTTTGTTTTCCTGGTACTATAGTGTCCCTTTAAGTATTGCTGCTGTTATGAAACATGTCAGCTACTCCATTAGCTCTCAGCACACAGTCTAGAACAGTGTGCACATGGTTAAAGCAACAAGATACTGATCGATGCAATCCATTTCATCTACTTCTGACTCATTGTTAGTTCTCAGCACACAGTGTGCACATGGTTAAAGCAGTGAAAACCTTAGACTCCAACCACTTCAGCTACTCCAGGCTCACTATTAGCTGTCAGCAAACAGTGTACTCAGGGTTAAAGCAGCATGATACTGACAGACTCCTTATTACCTTTGCAGCTGGCAATATAATTAATCTGCAGTGGTAATATGGAGCCAAGAAGTAGCTGAAATCAACAATAATTACAGATTAAAAATTAGAGTCACAGCCCCAGTCCTCCAGTTTGACAACTCACAACATTTCAACTAGACACAGTATTAGTGTCTCAGGTCTCAGCTGTGGAGTGACTGAGCACTTTAAATAGTTGTCACCCATGAGCGCGCCTCTCTCTCTCTCTCTCTCTCTCTCTCTCTCTC